ACTCTATGGTAAACTTACAAGTGGTCCTAGAAATCACAGACCCTTAAAATGAGTTACAATTTCTCTTCCCTTTGTAATCTCCCTTTTCTTGTTAGGAGAAAGGTGAGGTCTTTCAACCCCTTATGTCCTGGATAGAAGGTATAAATGCTTTTTACAAATAATATTCGCTGTGTGGAACCAGGGAGTAACTATAAAATAGCATGTGAAAGACTGAGGGTCAACGTCAGTGACTAAGTTCACAGAGTTGTTAGATTTAAAGAGGTCTTAGGTGTGTGTCAGAAGATCAAATACAGTGCCAAGTGGTGGGTATCCCATGGAAGTGGAGAGCAGAAGACACCAGGTCAAAACGAATGAAAGTAAAGACAGCAGAAGCAGATACTAGACCCAGCAAGTTATTTCCTCTGAATGGCATTTTACATACATTTTAATGAAATACTACATACATCAGGAAATACTCAAACAGCTTGAGCTTAATTTTAAACAATAGAAAATTATTAGAATGCACAACAGAAAAGCCCATTAAACAAAAACCTAACAGTTCTTTTCTCTTGTGAATCTGCTTCTGGTTGCAGCTTTGGTGCCATTCTATAGTTTGATATGTAATGTTGTCATTTTTTAAAATTTCTAACTGGTTTGTAATTGTAATTTTAATTCTTACTTTAACTTGGTAGTTATTTAATAGTTCGAACATTTATTTTCCTTATTCATATCTAGTTACAGCTCATGGAAATTAGAAAATGGCTGGACTTCTAATGGCTGGAATTTCCTGATTCTTCCTTGAGATAAACATCACTGTAATGATGTTTTCTGTATGTTTCACAGATGCTTTTGCTGGCAACTAGTTTGATTATGCATGTATGTAAGTATCTATCAAAAAACATATATATAGTACATATATATTGCCCTATTTTTTACACTATTGTATGTTATTAAGATATTATTTAAAACTATTCTTTCTTTACTTTTTTCCTACTGGATTAGTCAAAGCCTGAGATATGTATGTGAGTCTTCCACAATAGTCACGTTTGTTATTTTTCCTTAATTTCTAGCAGTTTTTACCTTATACGTTTCAGCCATTGTGTTATTTGAAGGATTCATAATTATATCTTCACTGTAAATTTTATGAATATTACTTTTAAACAAATTTTATATTTTGCTTCATATCTGACTTTTTAAAAGATTAGTACTGACATACCTATTTTTTTTGACATGTTTCTGAAAAATCTTTTCTCATCTTATTATTCTGAACTCTTTTTGTATCACTGTTAGGGATTAGGGGATAGCATTTTGGATGATCCATAAATTATTATCACCTACCTGACAGAGGGATGTTTGCCCCCCTCCACCTTAAATTTTTAGGGGGGTTGTTGTTGGTGGTTAATAGGTTTCCTGTGTTTCCGAGCAGGTGGCCAACAGTTGAGGAAGAGCAAAGAATGGTTCTACTTCCAGGCCAAGAATTTTAATCTATTTTTAGTGAGAAAGTAGTTTTTAAAGGTTCTCATCCAGTTCTTCCAGTCTTTAAATTGATAGAAAGTCCTTCCTGATTGTGATAATGGTTTGTCTATTGGTCTTAGTTTTTAGTGTATTTATGAGAATTTGGGTTTTGCTGGTTTCATAGATGTTTTAGTAAGGAGCTGGAGGAGGCTGCTTAAAGCATTGTTAATCAGATGCCATTTTAAAACCTTGATTTCACTCAGTCAACTTTCAGCCTCAAGAGACAAAAATGTTTGCAATTTGTCGATGGAGTGACACCCAGTGCTACAGTGGTTGAGTACGTGGTGAGGTCTCTTCCACCCAGTGTCAAAGCAGATGTATGAAGTAGGGGTCATCTGAGTTAGGCCTTGAAGGTGTAAGTGCCTCAAGAGACAAAAATGTTTGCAATTTGTCGATGGAGTGACACCCAGTGCTACAGTGGTTTAGTACGTGGTGAGGTCTCTTCCACCCAGTGTCAAAGCAGATGTATGAAGTAGGGGTCATCTGAGTTAGGCCTTGAAGGTGTAAGATCAACGGGTTCCTTTTTGGTAGAGGGTTATTTCAGAGAGAGAGACTGGCAGAAGAAAAAGTGAGGAAGCAGTAAATGATAAGACAACTTTGAGAAATGCCATAGAAGCAGTTTGAGCTAGGTTCAGTTGTATCAACGTGTATTTTAGAATTGGGGGGCAGGGTTACGTAGGAAAGACGAGAGAGAATAAAGACTCATAGAAACTATAAGAATATAAAAAGTCTGTCTGAATCCTGAAAAGGAGGATCCAGAACATCAGGGTAGATCAGCTTCTTCTGGCTTCCCACAGCATACTCTGCCCAAACCTGGAGGTTAAAAGCCTCTGACATCCCATGTCAAAGGTTCATTTGATTTAGTGAATAAATTTTCTAAGGATTCTGTGGTAAGCTGACAGCCATGGAAGCAATTTCATGTGAACTGACTTAGTAAGGAAGAATTAAGAACTAAGAATTCTTCCTTAGTAAGGAGGAATGACTTTTATCCTGCGATGAAAGGACGAAAGGAAACCAGTACTTATTAAATATCTATTATTTGCCAAGCACTGTTCTAAGCTCTTTCATGTATGTTACCTTAATTTTCATAGCAGCATTCTGAGATATTTCTTTCCCCAATTTCAAAAGTGAAGAAATAACTAACACAGTAGTGAAGCAAAGATTCAATCCAAGTTAGAATATAAAACTAAGCCCCTTCTGCTTTGCCAACCAAAAGGAAAGGTGTGATGGGCAGGTTATGATGGACTATATGTGCCCTACCTGGAGTTGGGGGTCGATTGCCAGGAGGAAGGTCAAGATTATTGTAGTGTAGTGTGGAGGCATTATAGTATTCAGGGTACAAATCACACTTCACACTTGTCTGGGCTCAAATTTTGCCTCTCCATGCCTCGTGGTGGACGTTTGGTCAGGCTATTTAGCTTCATGGTATCTCAATTTTCTCCTCTTTTGTAAAATGAATAAATGTTCCTATCTCAGAGAGTTATTACAAGTGTTAACCAGATGATGTAAGTAAACTGCTTATAAAAAGTGATGCTTGGCTATTATTAGATTTGGGTAATAATTAACAAAGTCCTGCTTAGCTCTTACTAAAATATTTGTACACTTTAGTTATATCTTATGATTGGAGAGAAGAAGTTAAATACACATCCATATATATTTTACAGTGTTAATTTTTTTTTCATTTTAAAAGTTTATGGTTCATAATAAATACATGTTTATTGTAGAAAATTTATAAAATTTAGAAATTTTAAAAAAGAAATTAAAATCACTCATACATATTCTCCACTAGCATTTAAACTGACTTTTCAATTTTGCAAATTTATAGGCAGTAATGGCAGTGGCTTATTGTTTTAATTTCTATTTCTTTGGTTAGAGATGGGGATAAATACATGTCATATGATAACCATTAACTTGTGGGTCCTTTCCTTTGAGAATTGTCTGTTCATGCTCTTTCCTAATTTTTATATTGTGGCATTAATACATTTATTATTGATTACTATGATATATATTTAAATAATATTAATTATTTCTCAGACATATCTGTTGCAAATATACAGTTTGTTGTTGCTTTAAAGCACTAAGGTTTTTAAAAAAGTTACATATATATATAATTATTTCTCAGACATATCTGTTGCAAATATACAGTTTGTTGTTGCTTTAAAGCACTAAGGATTTTTTAAAAGTTACATATATATATATATATATATATATATACTCAGTCAAACACACTAATCTTCTTTGTAGTTTTTTGCATTGCTTTAATACATACGACTTCTTCTCCCGGAAGTTTAGACTTTTTAAAGTCAATCTTTTAATCTACCTGTAATTCATTTTGAGGTATGGTAAAGGGAGAATCACCTAGGTT